TATTGGTCAGTGCATTGAGTATAGGAGTTGGGAGGTCATGTTGTGGCTGTACAGGACATTGATTAGGCCACTATTGGAATACTGTGTATTCTGGTCTCCCTGCTATAGGAAGGATGTTGAGAAACTTGAAAGGGCTCAGAAAAGATTTACAAGGATGTTGCCAGGGTTGGAGGGTTTGAGCTATAGGGAGAGACTGAATATGCTAGGGCTATTTTCCTTGGAGCGTCGGAGGCTGAGGGGTGACTTTACAAAGGTTTATAAAATCATGAGGGGCATGGAGAGGGTAAATAAACAAGGTCTTTTCCCTGGGGTGGGGGAGTCCAAACCTCGAGGGCATGGGTTTAAGGTGAGGGGGAAAGATTCAAAAGTGACCTAAGGGGTAAAGTTTTCACACAGAGGGTTGTGCGTGTATGGAATGAGCTGCCAGTGGAAGTGGCGGAGGCTGGTACAATTACATTTAAAAGGCATCTGGATGTGTATATGAATAGGAAGGGTGTAAAGGGATATGGGCCAAATGCTGGCAAATGGGACTGGATTTATTTAGGATATCTAATCTGCATGGGCAAGTTGGACTGAAGGGTCCGTTTCCATGTTTTCTATGACTCTAATCTAAGAAAACCCTGAATTCAAATTCACTGTGATTGATGTGCAACCAAAATAAAACCTAAGGAAAAGAAAATGGTGATCCTTTAAGTGTGTATTGAATTTGTAAACAGGCAAGAAATTATATTTTACAAAATTCTGCAACTGTAAATTAATTCAAGTGACATATATATTCCAGAGGGATCCAATAAATAGATGAATGTAGCAATTGGAGGCCTTGCAGAAGAAACTATTAACAAATTGAAAGATTGGTTGAATGTTCAGAATGATGGACAAGAAGTCAGGTCAATAGATTGGCAAAATGGAATGAAAGGGTGGAAATAAGAAAGCTGAGTGAAGTTGATGATAGTATATCTGGAAATGACACATATTAGAAAATGATCACAAACTTGAAAAAGAGCCTTCAATTTTAAGAATGATCATGGAGGAACCTCAGAAGGTCTAGAAATGCCAGTATAAGCTGTAGCTTGAGCAAATTAGATAAGAAATAAAGGCCACAGGAAAATCAGGAAACAGAACTAGAATCAGAAGTCCTCATGATTATGAAACTTTGGTGGCTGACAACAAACTTGAGAATAATTATTAAAAGAGACTAAATGAAACAAATTTGGTAGTTGGACAGAGTTCACAATTTATTCTGAAGTATTAACCATGGACAACCAACTTTGTCATATATTTGAATTTGTACAGAAAATGTTCTTCCAGGTTGGACTTTTAAGTCTGCAGGGAGATTAATTGTTCGAGTTTTCAAGGATGAATGGATAATATGGATGTTATAGTGAATTCACTCATAGCTGGAAGATAATCTATTAAAATTACTTGAGTTATTTTGGTCATATATTCAAGGGTCATGGAACTGGCATTTATAAATTAATTCAGGTGACATACATTTTCCATAGGGATCCAATAAATTGATGGGTGTGGCAATTAGAGGACTTGCAGAGAGAAATAAGTCTAACAGGGCCTGAGAAGGTGACAGGTTCAGAAGGAAAATAAGGAAACTAAACAAATGGACTTATGGCTTGAATAATGCTTCCAGAGAACTGATTTGCTGAAAATAGGTTCTGTTAATTTAAAAGCAGATCTCTGAATTTTTAATTGGTATTGTTGTATAAGGACAAGAAGACCCTGATTCAGCCTTGTTGTGATGTCATAGGACTGCACATCACTGGGTATAAATACAACGGGATGGACAGAGTTAAAACACTCTGCAAGAACACCTAACCAGCATTCGGTACTCTCTGTAAGAAGATCTATGGAAGACACATTGGAATGTGTAACTCTCTGGAAGACACAGAGAGCACATGGATATGAACACATGAAGAAAAGAGATTAATCTTTACTTACTGTCACAATAATTCTGCAATCAACATATATCAAAATATTTCATATTAATGTATAATAAATAGTTATGTTGAAGTCCAAGCCTGAAGACATTCTTTAAATATATTGATTTATTATATTAAGCAATGTCACTTTGGAATAATTTTAAATCAACAATCCTTTTTAGACTGTTACTCCCATTCCGGTTAATTGTACTAGGACATTGCAGAAAGATGATTTTATATTTAAAGAAGATACAGAGCAATTCTGCAGCTTGATTAGTCACTTGAACTGGCCATACATTCAGACTAGACCCAATGTTAGTTGAGATGTTTTGGAGTTAAAGACTTAGATGAAACTCCCTAAAGTAGAGAATGTTCTATGAGCAAATAAAACATTAATAAAATTAAGAGACAACAATGTGCAGGGCTGGATGAACACAGCAGGCCAAGCAGCATCATAGGAGCAGAGAGGCTGACGTTTCGGGCCTAGACCCTTCATCAGAAAAGGGGGAGGGGAAGGGGGTTCTGAAATAAATAGGGAGAGAGTGGGAGGCGGATAGAAGAGGGATAGAGGAGTGGATAGGTGGAGAGGAAACAAACAGGTCAAAGAGGCGGGGATGGAGCCAGTAAAGGTAAGTGTAGGTAGGGAGTTAGGAAGGGGATAGGTCAGTCCAGGGAGGACGGACAGGTCAAGGGGGCGGGATGAGGTTGGTCGGTAGGAGATGGAGGTGCGGCTTGAGGTGGGAGGAGGGGA